TGCAATTCATCTCTTGATTTCCTGGCTGCTGTTACCAAGAGTGTTGACTGTGGAGCCAAGTAAATTAAAACTGTTAACTATCTCAATCTCTTCACCTCATTATGCTGAGTGAAATATCTCAGCCACAAAAGGACAAATACTGCATAGTGCCACTGTTGTAAAACGGGACTGACATTGGGATTAAGGGGAGACTGAGAAAGAAGGGATAAATGTATGTATACTGCACTGAAACAGATGAGGGAGAAAACTGTTTGAAAGGGATATGTGATTAGGTATTATTGTCATGACAGGAGTCCAGAACGAAGGCTGCATAGTGGAGTGGCCTGCGGGGAGGGATTGTAAAACAATGAAAGAATTTTTCTTTTACTTTTCAAAGAGAAGAGAGAACTGGGGGAGGAGTAGGCAGGGATAAAAGTGCAAAAACGAGTGAATGGAAATCCAAAGTCTCTGTAAACGTTCATTAAAATTAATTTAAAAATATTTATAAAAAGAACAAATACTGTATAAGATCATTATTGCAGAAATAGAAAGATAACTAGTCAAATATATTTGAGGATCTGAGGGGAGGAGAAGAGGAACAGAGAGTTGTGGATGGGCAGGGGCATAATAATCACAGGGTCTAAAAATTTGATGGGTAGACAGAGGAGTAGGTAAAAGAAATGGGAAAGATTCAGAATGGAAAAACAATGTAAATGAACTTTGTAAACAAACCAGTATAAAATAAAAATTTTATTTAAAAAAATAAAAAGGTGAGCTCATAGCACAATACTTGCACAGGAAGATTGTTTTGTTGTTTTTCACATCACAAAATCTTGATGTCAGTATCGTACTCTAAAACTACTTACACTGGAACTTCTTGTTTTAAGGTTGGGAAATCCTAGCGGAAATTATGAAATCTAGCATCCCCAGAAAATAAATAGTAAAGTCACTAAGTAGGAAGAATAATGTCGGTTTCTGAACAAGCAACCTGGGAAACTTGTCCACCCCACCCCTTCCACAGTTTGAGAACCTTCTTTGTTGTCATAACTGATAGCCAAGGAAGATTGAGACACCTCAAAATTCCTCTAGCCCAATAAAGGCATCCCTGGCAAGAATACTGTCCCAAATAAATGAGGGACAAATAAATAATTCACCTCCTGTCCAGTAGGTGGAAGCACTACCCATGCTTGTATCATTATCTCTACTGAGGTTACAACTCTGGATATGTACCAAGTGTTATTTGGTATAAGCATTATTATTCTTTTTTTATTACTAATATTAATGAATGTTTACAGAGACTTTGGATTTCCATTCGTTCATTATTGCATTTTTCTCCCTGCCCACCCCTCCCCCCATTCGCTCTTTGAAGTTTAAAAAAAAAATTCTTTCATTGGTATAAAATCCCCACCCCCCAGTACACTCCACTATACAACCTTCATTCATGACGATAATACCCAATCATATATTGCTTTTAAACAGTTCTCTCCCTTATCTGTTTCAATGCAATATACATAATATATCCCATCTTTCTCAGTCTCACCTGAACCCTGATGCCAATCTCATTCTAAAACAGTGGCACTCTGCAATATTTGTCCTTTTGTGACTGAGATATTTCACTCAACATAATGTCCTCTAGGGTCACCCATTTTGAATAATATTGCATGAGTTCCTTGTTTTTCAATGCAGCATAGTATTCCATTGTGTGAATATACCACATCTTCTCTATCCATTCGTTTGTTAATGGACACTTAGGTTGTTTCCAACTCTTTGCTATTGTGAACAAAACCACAATAAACATGGGTGTGCATATATCTGCCTGAGTGGCAGTAATGGTTTCTTTAGGGTCCATTCCCAGCAGTGGAATTGTTGGGTCAAATGGTATTTCTATTTGCAACTTTTTGAGAGAGCACCATACAGCTTTCCATAGTGGTTGCACCATTTTACACTCCCACCAACAGTCAATAAGGGCTCCTGTTAGTCAGCAGTTGATGTTTGCTGCTCTGTTAAATTTAAGCATTATTATTCTTTTGAATTGTAGATTTACAAAAATTCCACTTGAAAATTTGCAGAAACTCCACTGTCTAGAATATTTTAGTCCCTAGATCAGAATTTTAAAGCTAGGAAAGGCCCTGGGGAATCATAACTTAAGCCTTCTCAACTAGATAGAGAAAGTATACAACCCTGACTTACATCTTTCCTAATTTTAACTATGTAGTATTCCCTTGCTCTGTTTGCACAATAGCCTCTTGGTCTAGGTGTAGATCTAGTTTTCACATGAGCACAATTAAGTGTTCTGAAATTCCCATTCTTTTCAGTATTAGCCATGATCTGTTATGATCCAGTCAAGAATGCCTTTGCATAGTCAATAACACACAAATAAACATTCTCTTGGTATTTTTTGCGTTCAGCCAGGAACTATCTGACATCAGCTATGATATCTGGGGTACTTCTTCTAAATCCAGCTTGAACATCTATGTACTATTCTAGCTGATTTTTAATAATATTCAGCAGTATTTTGCTTGCATGTGATATCAATGATGATGTTCAATAATTTCTATATTCTGTTGGATCATCTTTCTTGGGAATGGGAATAAACAAGATTCCCTTCCAGTGAATAAGGATGATGGAAGAATTGATGTCTTTGAATTGTGGTGTTAAAGAATATCCCAAGTGCAACAATGAATGACTGGAAACCCTAAGTGTCTGTAAACTTTCATTAAAATTAATAAAATAAAAAAAAGAATAGCCCATGGATTTCCAAAAGAACAAACAGATACAATATGTAGAAGGTGCAGCCAGAGTGCTCTTTGGAAACAAAAATAATAAAGCTTCATCTCACATACTTTGGGCATGTTGCTAAGAGAGGCTATTCCTCAGAGAGGGGCATCATGCGTGGAAAGGTGGAGAGATGGTGAAGAGGAAGACCCTCAACCAGGTGGACTGATACAGGATAGGATAGGGCTCATATATGTCATTCATAGGGTCACTATGAGTTATACTTGGCTCAACAGCACCTGACAACAATGACTAGATAGGGAGCTCTGGCAGCTTGGTGGTAAGAAGTTGCACTGCCAACCTAAAAGCACTCAGTTCAAATCCCCTAGCTGCTCCATAGAAGAAAGATGGGCAATCTCCTCCCTTGTGATTTACTACCTCTGAAACCCTGCTAGAGGGTAGGCTATGAGTTGGTTCTAACTGATTGTACGCAACAACAATAACTAGATAAGGAAGCAGCAAAGAGGGAGTCACCCAGCTAATCCATGGAGAGATAGACTCCAGGCCCTTGACTTCCATTGGATGATCTTTTCACTCTAAATGACGACAGAATAACTTAGAGAGGCACAGGCAAGGTAATATATTTGAATCACTGAAACAATACCACAATGTTTAGTTTTAGGAAGAACTTTAACAGGAAGTTTTCTAGAAATCTATAGCTCAGAGTTTGAGATAAGTGTAAGAAAAAGACCTATCAAGGAAGATCTATAAAAAGGCATGTACACAAAACAACTATGAGATATCATCTCACCCCAGTAAGAATAGTAAAAATTAACAGAACAACAAATGCTGACGAGGTTGTGGAGAAACCAGAACACTTATTCATGTTGGTGGAAGTGGAAAATGATGCAACCATTGTGAAAGGCGGTGTGGTGCTTTCTCAAAAAATTGCAAATAGAGATACCATTTGACCCAGCAATTCCACTACTGGGAATATACCCCAAAGAGACCATAACCACCACCCAGGCAGATATATGCACACCCATGTTTATTGTGGCTTTGTTCACAATAGCAAGGAGTTGGAAACAACCTACACACCATCAACAAATGAATGGATAGAGAAGCTGTGGTATATTCACACAATGGAACACTATGCTGCATTGAAAAACAAGGAACTTATGAAATATTATTCAAAATGGGTGACCCTGGAGGACACAGTTCTGAGTGAAATATCTCAATCACAAAGGGACAAATACTGCATGGTGTCACTGTTGTAAAACAGGACTGACATTGGGGTTGGAGGGACACTGAGAAAGATTGGACAAATAATATATACTGCATTGAAACAGATGAGGGAGAAAACTGTTTAAAAGGAATATGTGATTAGGTGTTATTGTCATGACAGGAGTCTAGAGCGAAGGCTGCATAGTGGAGTGGGCCTGGGGGGGAGGGATTGTAAAACAATGAAAGAATTTTTCTTTTACTTTTCAAAGAGAAGAGTGTATTGGGCAGGGAGAGGTGGGCAAGGAGCAAAGTGCAACAATGAATGAATGGAAATCCAAAGTCTCTGTAAATTTTCATTGAAATTAATTTTAAAATTTTAGAAAAAATAAAAGTCATTATAAAAAATAAAAAAGGCATGTACAATCTAGAAGTAAATCTATAATTTTTTAAAAGGTTTTCTCTGGTGGCCTAGTGTTAAGAGGCTGTACTATAATACCAAAGACACTCAGTTCAAGGCCACCAGCTGCTCCATGGGAGAAAGATGGACAATCTCTTCCCATTAGGTTAACTGCCTCTAAAAACCCGCTGGAGAGTCAGCAATGGGTTGGTTCTGACACTACAGTACCCAACAAAAACAACAACTCACAAGAAGGTTTATATCTCAGCTCTGTTGCTGTGTGATCAGGGAGTAATTACTTCTGTAACATGTCAGGATCATCTATTTAAATGAGACCGATAAAATAGACCTCAATGCAGTTGTGATATGCTGGTTGGCATATAAGTGATATTGATCATCATTGTTGTGCTAAGTTGATAGTGAAGGGCCTACCTCTCAGGATTCTTGATTTCTTCAGTGACATAGTTGAGCGTATCCCAGCCTGAGTAGGAGAACAGAGCCGAGTACAGGGCCAGAGCAACATCACCCATTTTATTTGATGAGCCCTTAAAAGAATCCTCAAAATTAGTCGAGCCTCCTGGAACCCAGAAAACATTGAAAGGCAGAAAGATTAGTGGCTCACCTTCCAACTTCAAGACAATCCAGCAAAATGTAGAAAAATACAGTAATAACAGTAGATAAGTGGCTTAGAACACTTTCCCAGGACATACCAGTGTATGTTACCAGGGAAGGAATAGGAACAAGTAATACATCTGTAGAGATGACCTGTTTGCCTAAGCAGTTTTTAAAAAATCACCAGGAAGCAGAAGGACCCAAGCACATGAGTGATAGTCTCCATCCTACTCCCTGCCTGACTTCTCTCCTCTTTCTAAGACAGAACTGATATGGGCTAGAGAAAGAGCAGGACTCAATGTTTACAAGTCAAAAGAATATCTGTCAGATAGGTGTTCAAACCTGAAAAATGAAGTGGAACAAGAAGTTAAATCTCTTCCCTTGCCCACTCACAAGCACAGGGTTCAGCAGTCAATGAAACCCAACCCCAAGAGCAGGACTGTGAGGCCTTTTGCCCAGATCAGTCTCCTTTGAGAGGCAACAAGCTTAGTAGTTAAATGACAGGTTTGGGGGTTAATCTACCTGGATACAAACTTCATCTCCTCCCTTACTCAGGATTTGGGCAAATTATTTAACCCTGCAACCTTAGTTTCCTCACTTATGTTGTTACATGCCGTGGAGCTGGAAATGACTCACAGGTCACCCTCTAGCAGGTTCTTAGAAGCGATGCATCACATAGGAGGAGGTTGCCTATCTTTCTTCCTTGGAGCAGCTGGTGAATTAGAACAGCTTACCTTTGGGGTGTGAGCCCCTCTCCTTACCAGACCTACCCTGCTTGCATATAAAACAGGAATAATAATAGTACCTACTTGGCCATGTAGCCAGGAGGGACCAGTCTGTAGAGAAGGATATCATGGTTGGAAGGGGTGAGGGATAGCATAGGGGAGGAAGACCTCGAATGAGATGGATTGACACAGTAATTGAGGTAATAAGGGTAAGTGTTCCAGAGACAGTGAGATTGGCTCAGGATAGGGCAGGCTTCAGAGCTAGTGTGCATAGGGTCCCTATGAGTCATGGTCAACTCAAGGGCACATAACAACAACAAAAGCCACCAAATTAGGTTACTGTGAAAATTAAATGAGATTGTATATAAAAAGCATTTAGAAAAATGTGATTCATTGTAAATGGCAGCTGTTATCATTATGATTTCTTACCCGTGGCAAGTCTAACAATGCCTGCGATGATGACCGCGATCAGGGCCAATACTTTAGCATAGGTGGATAGATCTTGTACTCGGGTTCCCCACTTGACATAGGCACAGTTAATGAAGGTTAAGAGACCTGAAAGAAAAAAAGTATTGGTTGTTAACTGACCTTATCACACAGAGGGCATTATACTCCCAAGCAATTTTTCCAGTACCAGCCATGAAAATAGGCCCTTTGATCAAAAACATGGTTGGAGTTCAGGTTCTGATGTGCTCTATTACTGGAAATCTTTTTCAGACAATATCCTCGTAAGTATCATTCAAAGGCACCTGTTGAATGATTGTGTACATAATACCAACACCATCCCTCCCAGTGCTTTGTATGGGAAACATAAAATAAGGTGATTATAATCTGTTTGCACACAAACCAAAACCTACTGCCATCAAGTTAATTCTCATTCAAGACAACCCTTTATTGGTTTCTGAAGTTGGCAATACTTATTGGAGGAAACTGTCCATCTAACTCCTGCCAAGTAGTCCTGCCAAGATGAATGTGAACCACAAACTTTTCAGTAAGCAGCCCAACATGTAAGACACTACTTCAAAAGGGCCTTTGTATATACAAAAGTGCACCTAAATTCCCAGTCCCATTAGTGAGAGGCAATTGGTATACATACAGGATTAGTGCTGTGCTGTAGATCAAAGCCTTCAATACTGATTTTAAAAAAATATTGATTACATAGTAACATCAGCAAAACTAAAATTCTCACCACTAGACTAACAGGCAACATCATGACATATGGAGAAAAGACTGAAATTGTCAACAATTTATTTAGTCCACAAGCACACTCCTGGTATCAGCAGTCAGAAAATGGGAAGGATCTGGGTGTAAAGGCAGGGTAATGATGGACAGGGTACAATGGTGATTAATTTTATAAAACACAATGCATTAGAATCACTGAAACACAATGTGAATAAAGAATAGTGTGAAACACAATGTATATGAACTTTGTAAGCATACCAATTAAAAAAAACAAAGCAAACAAACAAAAAAGAAATCAAAATATGTGTTGCACTGGAGAAATCTGTTGTCAAGGACATCACCAAAGTTCTAAAGACCAAGGATGTCACTTTAAAGACTCAGGCATGCCTGATCCAAGTTAGACAATGAAGGATGAAGGAAGAATTGAGCCCTTTGAATTGTGGTATTGGTGAAGAGTATGGAGTAAAGTTCTAAAGACCAAGGATGTCACTTTAAAGACTCAGGCAGGCCTGATCCAAGTTAGACAATGAAGGATGAAGGAAGAATTGAGCCTTTTGAATTGTGGTATTGGTGAAGAGTATGGAGTAGACTGTGAACTGCCAAAAGAACAACCAACCTGTCTTGAAGGAAGTGCAACCAAAGTGCTTCTGAGTGGCAGGAATGGTCAGATGGCATCTCTACCTTTGGGTATATTTTCAGGAGGAGCATCAAGGAGTCTACAGACCTTGGAGAGTGACATCATGCTGGGTAAGGTAGAGCGGTCATCAAAAGAGATTTAAGGAGATGGACTGACACAGTGACAGTCACAATGAACTTGAGAGCATGGCAGAGATGAGGATGGTGGCAGGCAGGGAAGGTTCAGATCTGTCGTCATGGATTCACTATGAGTCTTGGTCCACTTGATGGCGTCTAACAACCCCACCAGAGCTGCATACTGGCTACTGGCTATGGAAAGTCAGTCACGGTCTCTTCCCTTCTCTGGACACACGCTCTGGGATGCAACATGCTGATTCAGAGTTGTTACTGCTGAGTTTTAACCTTGATGAGTCCTGTTGTGATTTATCCAATTTCTGGGCCAAGAGGTCAGAACATGTGGCCAAGGATTAGGATCAAGGCCAGACTTCCTGTCCACTCAGTGCCTGCCAACTCAGCTGCTAGTTTTCATGCTTGGAAAGATTCTCAAAGCTAAGTGAAGGGCCTTGCAGAATGGGAAAGGGAAATGTCTTCAGGATAAACAATGCAGAAGTAAGAGCCACAAACAGACCTCAAATCTTTCTACCATAGAGTAAAAGGCAGCCCTTTGAATCTGAGTAACGTTTATGGATCACCTTTCAGGAAATCAAAAGACATATTGCATTTGGAAAATCTGTTCTCAAGGACCTCTCCAAAGTTCTGAAGAGAAATGATGTCAATTTGAAGACTAAGGTGCACCTGCTCCAAACTATAATCTTTTCAATTACTTGCTATGCAGCTGAAAGTTGGACAATGAATAAGAATGACAAAAGAAATGGAGAAGGGTGATGAATATCCCCTGGGCTGTCAAAGTACAAATATGATTTGAAAAGGTACAGCCAGGATGCTCCTTGGAGTCTAGGACAGTGAAACGTTGTCTCACATACTTTGGGCATGATGTTAGGATAGGCCAGTCCTTGGAAAAGGACTTCATTCTTGGAATTATGGAGGGTCAGCAAAGGAGGGGAAGACTTTCAAGGAAATGAATTGAGATAGTGATTGTAATGGTAGACTCAAATGTCAGAGATGGCAGGGCTCTGATCAACTGTTCCTAAGGTTGCTGTGAGTCATAGCTGACTCAAGGGCCCTTAACAACAACAGTGTTAGGGAAAAGGTTCTTAACCAAGGGCCATGATCTTCACAAGCCTCTGAAATTCTTTGCCAAGTGCTATGTCCATGTGAGTGTATGCATCAGAACCTCAAAGAAATCTATGTCTCCAGAAAACTCAAGAGGGGCCCACACAAGCTGTGAGGTTGACCAATAGCCCCAGGAAGAAAGTCAGAAGAAATAATTCTGAAATTCAGCATAATGTTCTTTGCTTCTATCTACCCCCTCAAGCAGTAAGGAAACACATTGCAACATATTCTCCCCACTGGTGGCAGAATGAATCACTTCATTGCTCTATAAAAGACTTCTTCCAGGAACTCTAGAGAAGGTCAGAGTCACTCTGTCTCACCAAAAGAGAAAACAGCAGCCCAGTCCTTGGCTTGCCTGCTTTAGGCCGCCAATAAATTAAGTCCTCTCTGTCTTATTAGAGTCCTACTAGTAACCAGTGACTCCCAGTGCCTTTTTTGCTGCGTTCTGGTCTCAACACACTTTGACCAGACATTACTTCTTCCTGTGAAGTAGGAGAGACCAGCCTCTCAGAGCAGCTGTTGCACCTTCTAGCTCTAAATCTCTTTTATGCCGTCATCATCTACTCAGTATAAGGAATGTTGGTGGTGTACTTATAATGAACTGTGCTGAGTATTTTCAGGGGTTTGAATGCACTAATGGCTCCTTCAAAGAAAGATAAGCAGTCTTCTCCGGTTGTAATTTATAGCTTTTGAAACTCAATAGAGTTTAAAAAAGCTATGAATTAGCATCAACTCAGTAGCCATAAACTTGAGTTTTTATTCTACTCAAGTAAAACATCAAATATCTTTTCTGCCCTTCCACCAAAAAAAAAGGCATTCCATGTAAGTATATGTATTTTTCAAAGAGAATCCATAGTTTGCATCAGAATCTCAAAGAGATCCATGTCCTATACAGTCACTCGCCTTTCTGTTTTATAAACAAGCCAATAAACAATCAAATCTTATCACAGAGCTGGGTCAAAATGTACCCTAGCTGTAAGTCAACATGATAGTAAGTTAATAATTTAAGACACACGTGTTCGGTCCCAGTCCCCACTAAATGACCACAGAATGTGTGTCTTGCTCTCCATAAATCTTTTGATTCACCTCAGTCACCTAGACTTTATTCCTCACTGGCCTTCTGCTGGCAGCTATCCAACAACCTTCATACCTTCTCCCCATATTGTGACCTTTACCACTTCCTGTATAGACTCTAAAAGCCAGATTTCTGATGAGAAACAACAAAGACAACTGAGGCTCCCATATTCACAGGGCAATACCCGTACTATCCACCGTCACTAAGTCATTTTGCTACCCATAGCAACCCTCTATCTGGTTTTTCAGGCTTTTAAATTTTCACCAGAGGACACTGCCCATTTTTCTCTTGTACACTAGCTGGTCGATTTGAACTGCAAATTTTTCATTCTTTCAATTAGCAGCCAAAAGCATAAATCACTACGCCACCAGTGTTCTACCAGAGCTTTGCAAGGGAATGAGTCTCTAATACAAATTCTTAGGAAGCCCTCAGGGGAACCATGGATCACAACACCAAATTGGAATAAGCTTAAGGGACTAGATCTGGTTCAGAATCTAAGTTGAGAGCTTGTGCCACTGGCTGGTCCTGCTCCCAGCTCTGTGGAGAGATATGGATATCCACCCGCCAGTACTTCTCCTATCTTCATTCCTGAGCCTTATTCCTCAACTACTGAGTCACATCATGCCTTAATCTGTTCTCTGTATTCAGCGCTGAGGACTCATTTTGAATGAAGTGGGTCCTGTAGACAGAAAGAATTGTCAGAAGAGAACTTCCTCTAAGGCCTCTCAGCTGACTGTGGGCGTAGAAAACGGCTATGGTCAGCAGCACTGCTGACAAGGCTCTTTCTCCCCAGTCTGGGTGGATACAGCTACTCAGCTTCCTCATAGTCCAGCCAAGTATGACTCTTTGGAAGTCAGCTAACCTCCTGCTTCAGAGGCATGGACAGGAGGAGACCATTTTTTAAAATTCTAAGGAGACAACTGCAAAGTTAACTTCAGGGCAAAGACTCTCTACCTTTCCATCTCTGGGGACAATTCAATCCCCACCTAGTACAGGCCGAGTCCACGTCAGGAAGGCCAAGGAATCAACTTTGCTCTTGACTCACGTGTAGTTCCATTTCCAACAACAGGGAGAGGAAGGAGAAACTGTGAGGCAAAGTCACTTCTATAATTACCTAAAAGAAGATCCTGAGTGGATCTTCAAGGCCAGCCTACACAGGGTGTCCTGGAACAAGAGGCTAGTACAACACTAAGTCACAGAATCAGCTTTCAAAAGAAAAGAATGAAAATACTGGGCTAAATTAATCCAGAACAGAACAAAGCATGTAGGCTCACTCTGGATCAGATGCTCAGGTTTTACTTAGATTGTTGTTGTTGTTGTTGATTGCCTTTGAGTCAAGCACAACTCATAGCAACCCTGTGAACAAAAGGCCTGAAGCCCCTTTACCACTATCAACATTTATCAAAGTTCATAGAGTTTTGGAAACATG